CTAAGCAGACACTGAGTTTGTGGAGCTGTCTCGCCAGCCTTATAACCCTACAAACTGGGGTTATATTTTAAAAATCCTCAAGGAAAGACAGCATGAGCTGAAGTTGAGTTATAGAGGCAACAACTCTAGAAGATATAAGAGCTTATCAGGGACTACCGCTCTTCTGAGCCTTTCTCGAAGACTTTACTACAGGACATGCTATAACTGAAAAGAAGTAAGACACAGAGCACCAAAAGGACCAGTAAAGAACACTTGGTCTGACAGGTATAAGCCTAACTCAAAAAACAAAATGGGCAAGGAATGGTGGTACAAGTTTGCAATCCCAGCACTCAGGACACTGAGGCAGGAGATCACTCAGGAGCTCGAGGCCAGCCTGGGCTACATGGCAAGACCCTATCTCAGAAAACCTGAATAAATAAAGAAATGAAACAAACAGACAAAAGAAAGAAAACAAAATGGAAGCTGGGATGACGTCACCGTCTCCGAATGTTACCTGCCCTGACAAGGCAGGAACTCCCCAACAAAGACCGCCAGAAGAAGAAAAGGAAAAGTAGATGAAGGAAGAGGAAGCAGGCCACTTTTCTTGTTGCTTTACTACCAGGAGTGCATGGGGAACACGCGAGTGCACCATCAATGGCTAACACACTAAGTCATAATAAAGTGTATTTATGTACGAAGGCAGACACTAAGAAATGTGGCACAATCAACTAAAAGATAGTGCTTGAGGAAAGGGAGCGGAGCAAAGAAAAAAGGTGCTAATTTCATCATTTCTCACAAGAGGGATTAAGACATACTACCTAAGAAATGGACAACTAATACTAAGATAAGAGATATAATGGTTGGGACAAAACCCTAAGAGCATCTGGGCACACATATCATGTGTGGGAGCACGTGTACACACACACGCACACACAGCAAGAGAGAGAAGACTGATTTTTAAAAACTGTAAAACTAAAGCCAAGCTGGGTGAGGTGGCACACACCTGTAATCCCAGCACCGGGGAAGCTGAGGCAGAAAGATCACTGAGTTGGAGACCAGCCTGAGCTACGCAAGTGAATTAAAGGCCTCAACTACATAGTAAGGTCCTGCCTCAAAACAAAAAACCTAAAACCAAAGCCAAACATAAAATCTACCACTAAGACCATATATGTCTGCATATCGATAAATATAAATGTGCTGAATTTATCTATTAAAATAAACCTTCCAGGTTGTATCACAAAGCAAAACCTAATTCAATATCTACCTAAGAGATACAATTAAAATAATTTTTAAGAAGTATAATGAATAAAATAAACAAAACATAACAGGCAAATATAAACAAATATGAGGGCTGATTTCCATTCTCTTCCAAAAGTTGTTTTCTAAAAGACTGTGTGTGTGTGTGTGTGTGTGTGTGTGTGTGTGTGTGTGTATTTGCAAGTGCAAACGCACACACACACATACTGCATGCACATTAGGCAGTAAATTCAGAACTCAGTTTATGCTAAGCACATGCTCTACA